CGCAACCCCCTCCGCCCTTCCCTCATGGTCCCTGGCCCCTCAACGTGCCCCCACCCAGGACATGGCGAGAACAGAGGTCATCCCCAACACCAAGCCGCTGGGGTCCCCCGGCTACCAGAAAGGCGTCGTCACCACCCACGTGTCTTTGGCCATGGGGCTCGAGCCGGGGGTGGCGCCGCTGGACGCGGCCTGGGCGCACCAGCTCGTGTTCCCAGAGTCCCACTTTTTTGAGCTGTGGGTGTTGGGGTGTGCGATTGTTTGTGCCTGCGTGCGCATGTGGGGGTGTGGGTGGAGGAGGTGTGGGGGTTGGCACTCTGGCGTGCGCTTCAGCAGTGAAAGCTGGGCCCTGCTGCTGGGTGGCAGGCGGCGCCCAGCAGGCCAGTGTGTCAGTATGGGCGCCAGGGGTTCCCAGATCACCGCAGCAAGGGGTGACGCGTAGTATTCTCACATATGCCATCCTGACCAGACCTGCCGTGTGTGCATCATCGTAACGCCCGCCCATCTCGCGCCACCATCATTGCCCAGCCGCTACGGGCAGCAGCCCGGGTGGCCAGCGCCGCCGGGTGGCAAGAACCTCCAATTTTTTGTCAGCGGGCGGCCTGAGTGGCAGGGCGCCCTGAAGCCAGGGGAGTGGCAGAATTTTGCGATCACGGTGGACTATGATAAGAAGGTGCGACGTGGGATGGCGGGGGGACTGCAGCACCACACACACGCTTTTTGTTGGTGTCAAAGGGAAAGGGCAGGCCGCAGGCGTGCAGAACCTGTTGTGGGAGAAAAACCCTTATCTCACCCTTACCTCACCGAAGCTGCATGGCGTCCCCTACATGCATGTGGCAGCGGCGTAGATGCCGCGCCCGGCCACCAACAGGCATGTCCGTCCCCGTGTTGGCGCCGTCCGCAGATTGTGACGCTCTACACGAGCACAGGAGGCGGCGCGCTGCAGAAGCGCGCCGAGGTGCCGCGCGTCTCCAGCACCAGTAGGAGCGACCTGCACATCGGCGCGCTGCGGCTGCCCATGGCCGGCGGGAGGCAGCTGCAGCGGCCGACCAGCATTTATTATTCAAACTTGTGGATTGAGGCGGGGCCGCCTTCGGGGCTGTGACGGGAAGCATCGCCCCACGTTGTCAATTGCAAAGCGGCGGCTGCTATGCATGTATGTTTGACAGGGAGTGTAGCTCTGGGCAGCTCTGGGACTCCACCTTACCGTGATTGTAGTCGTGAATGGGCATGTATGGCTCATCAGCCTAATTTAACCGAGCTTGCGCGACAGACGCGCCCACACAATCCAGTGAAGGCACTGCGTTTGCCAACACAACAGTCCCATGAAAGGCCACGCGTACAAAGGCGATCCCTGCCACAGACGCCAAGCGGTCCTTGAGCACAAAATTAGTGTCAGCGGCCAGACAGCAGACACACCCAGCACCGGCGGTGTGCAGCGGTGACACCTGGTGACATGTGGATTGATGGAAGACTGCAGCGGCCCTGTATGGCACGATAAACCGCAGTTAGCTATATATCATAGTACAAAGTGTAGCCGGTCTGCGCGGCACGATTCGGCACTGCGTCCCTGAGCCATGCTGCAGAGGCCTGTGATCGCGCTGTTCATGTCAAAAGGCGCTATGAATGTTCGTCACGGTGGTCACTGTCTGCGCAGATCAGCAGCAACAGCAGCACCATGGCCCAAGCAGCAGCAGGCGCTCCGCTGCTTGCATGCACCGCCAGCACCAGCGGCACGTCTGCTCCAAAGCTATGCACAACCACAGGCGCTTCAACGGTGAGTCTGTCTTCGTACGATGATTATGGCAGAAATGTACTGCATCTCTTCTGGGCTCACGTTAATGTACATGGTGCTCACGTTGCAGCCTGAGTCCGCGGTTGTGCGGGCCCCCTCGGCGGCGCACCCTCGCCACAGCGGCGGCGCCTGCCGGAGTCCCCTCGCCACCGCTACAGCAGCAGCAGCAGCAGCAGCAGCAGCAGCAGCAGCAGCAGCAGCAGCAGCAGCAGCAGCAGCCGATCGTCGTCGTCGCCGGATGGCTGGGAGCCCCCGAGCGCCCGTTCTCGAAATACCTAGACCTCTGGCGCACCCGCCTGGGCGCCGCCGCCGTCCTGCCGGCCCGCCCCAGCCCCATAGCTCTCATCCTCCCGCTCGTCGGCGCCGCGTCCGCGGCGTGCGCGGCACGGCGGGTGCTGGCCGCCGCGGCCGCCGCGCCGGGGTCGCCGCTCGTCTTCCATTTGTTCAGCGGCGGAGGGTACCTTTACATTGGCCTCATCTTATTAGAGCTTCAACGCCAGGGCTTGTTGGATGACATCGCCCCGCGCGTCGCGGGCGTCATCCTTGACTCATCGCCCGCCTACGTGACCGGCGACGTCACCGCACGCGCGCTGCTCGCCGCGGCGCTGCGGGAGCCGGCCGACGGCGTCGCGGCTCGCCACCCGCGGGCGCTGCAAGTAGTGCGCCGCGCGGTCGACGCGTACTTTTCTCTGCCGCCCATGCGGCGGCGGTTAGAAGAAACCGAGGCAGCCTGGCGTGTTCTGACGCCCCCCTGCCCAAAGCTCTACCTCTATTCCGAAGCCGACGTGCTGGTGGACCCCTGGACTATCCAGAATCACATGCAGTCCGAGGCAGTCCGAGGCAGCCGCATCAGCGCCCACAAGTGGCGGGACACGCCCCACGTGGAGCACTACAGGCTCCACCCCAAGCAGTACGCTGGGATCGTGTCGGCATTCGTGTCAGAGGCGCTGCAGTGGCATCAGCAGGAAGCCAGCGGCAGCCGGCGGGAAGCTGCAGCTGCAGCGGAGCCGCCCAGCGGGCGTGGCAGCAGCGATGGTCGCAGCGAGGCCGACGGCGACGGCGGCGGAGAGGGCGGAAGTGGCAGCAGCACCTGCAGCAGCACCGCAGGCAGTGTTGCCGGTGAGAGCGGCGGCGAACGCAAAGGCAGCAGCGACGGCGATGCGCGGAGCACTGAAAGCAGCAGCACGTCGCCAGCAGGGTGGAGGAAGCCCTGAATTGGCGGTGGCTCCTGCCTATGTTGGGTTTCTGTTGGAAATGGCGGCTTTGCACCTGTTTGAGCTTGTCGCCCACTCCTGAACACGGCTGCTTCATGCTGTGGCGGTGCAAAGCTGATGTTGCACAGCCCAGTCTGCCGGCATTTTTTGGCACACGCTGCAGAGCGCTGCGCCGCCCTTGTTTTGAAACGGCTGCGCACTTGGCGCGTGGGCGATCTTGAAGGAGTTATCCTGTACACGGCTGAATATGTTACGTCGATTGTATACACGGCACTGATTCGTGCAGGCCGATCATGTGCAGGCACATTTGTGCAGGCCGCTTGCAGGCCAGTCGAAGGGCGTAACGCAGGGCTGTCGCGAGGCGTTCAGCCAGGGTGGCGCAAAGCGTGTCGCTATCAGCGACCTGCTGCGGCGGCGATCCGCCGAATCAACGAAATGCATGCGCAGATTTCAAAGACCGATTAGATATGACAAAGTGCAATATCTACAACGCCTGAGCCGGCGGACGTCACGGTCGGGTGGCATCACCCATCGCATGCGCTGACTGGGCGGCCGGGTCAAATGCATGATTGCTGCTCGTAGCCCACAGATGTTCTGGGAGTTGTCATATCAAAGGGAGGTGAGAAGCGCTGCCGGTGACTGCACACAGAGCAAGTCCCATGTATCACTCAAGCGCAGGGGCGCGGGCAGGACGGAGGCAAACAAAGCCGTACATGCAGGTAGCCGCCAGCTGCCAACAGCCTGTTTCGCGGGCGCGGCCGCAGGCCCGCTCTCAACAGCCCCTGCCGCCGCCCGCGGTGACGCCCTCGCCCGCCGCTCCCACCCTCGCCGCCGCCGCCGCCGCCAGCGACGCGACGCTGCCGCACGCATCCGCGCGCAGCGCCGCGAGGCAGGCGGACAGCTGCGCCTTCTCGGCTTCCGGCAGCCCCGCGGCAGCTTCCTCCAGCTCCCGCGCGATCCAGCAGCGCACCCCCGGGTCCTTATCCTCGGACAGGTCGAGGAGGGCGCGCAGCAGCGCGGGGCGCAGCGCGGCCGCAACCTCGGACACGCCCTCAGGGTCGGCATCTTCTTCTGAGCTCGCCTCAGATGGCGCAGACGACCCCTGCCGCTGCTCTTGTGCCTGCTCCTCCTCCGGCTCCTGCTGCTGCTCCTGCATCTGCTCCCCAGGCGCGGCCGAGCCAGCTGGTGAAGGGGCGGAGGCTGCTGCACCCTCGCCGGCCCCAGGCCCCGCCGCTCGGACGACGGCGGCGGCGCCGCGATGCAGGCGGCAGCGGAGCGACTTCAGCTTTTGCCTGAGCTGCTTCCGCGGCGCCGACCCCTTGCCGTCCGCCGCCGCGCCCTCGCCCAACCCCTCGTCTTCCCCTCCGCCCGCGGGCTCGCCAGGCTGGTCCCGGCCATCCCTCAAGTCCCCTTCGCTGCTCCCGCCGCCCGACCCCGCCCCGACCTCCGGCCCCGCCCCCACGCCTCTCGCCCCGCGCCCCACCGCGGGCGCCGGCGGCGCGACCGCGCGCAGCGCGCCGCACGCGGCCGCAGCGAGCGCGCGGCGCTGCGCGACGGGGGCGCGGCCGAGGGATCTCGTCAGAGCAGACAGCAGATCTCCGGCCGCCGGCACCGGCAGGCGAGCGTACGCGTCTTCCGTCACCAGCGGCGCCGGCTGCTCGCCCTGCGTGCGCCGGCGTGCTGCAGCGTGCGCGGCGGCGGAGGCGGCGGCGAGGCGGGGGTCGCCGTGCGGCGGCGGGCTGCCGCCGTTGTGGGCGGCCGCGGGGGTGAGGCCTTCAAGCTGTTCAAACATGAGGCCGGCCACCTGTAGTGGTTGGCAGTTGGCGGTTGGCGGTTGGCGGTTGGCAGTTGGAGCAGAGGCAGAGTGGTCAAGGGCGTTGTTGGGGCCATCTCGGACACCTGACGGCCGGCCTCGCGACGAGTGGTGTCCCCTGGTCGGGCTCGGTTGGTCGCGGGCCGGCGCCAGCGGGGCCGCTTGACGCGGCCATTGACGCGCGGCTCTGGGTGGTGGCGAGCCGCCCCGACGCGAGGGGCCGCGGGCGAAAGCGCAGGTACCACCGGGCTGGTGGGCAGGCCGGTCAGGCGAGCATCCGCGGGGCATCGCCTCAGGGGGGGGCGCCTCATGGAGTGCTTGAATATGATCAAAGGTGCGAACGGGAACGCTGGCGCCGCGGGCCCACCTTTGTGCCCGCATCCACCAAAGGGCCCACGTGGGGGATGGCGCGTGCATTGTCCACCTGCGCGCGTCACGATTCGGCGGGTTGGAGTGAACAGTTAATATGAAATACCAGTTCCAGAACGTGGTAGTTTTGTTGTGATATGACATATGTTGCTCAAGGGCATGACAACGATGATGGACGAGTGGCAGGGGCACCGCCCAACACGGCGTCCAGGTGTCGGTGATTGAGTGCATTCAGGAGCGGGGGAATGACTGATGCGGCAGCAGGGCGGCCGCCACCAGTGACCATGCACGCCCCTGAGCGCTGCCACCCAGCTTTCCGTCCTCGGGACCCCCTGTGCCGGCGCTGCACACCCCCCGGCCTGCACACCACCCCGACCCTGATCAGCAGCAAAAGCAGGTCTCCTGCGGAGCCTGCGAGGCGGCATCGTGAACCCTAAACCCTAAACCCTGAACCCAAAAAAAGCCTTAGCTCGTACCATGTGCTGCAGCCCGAGTCTCAGGCCCTCTCTGAAGCCAAACCGCCCGCCCGTTGCGACGTGCGCCCCCTCCGCGCCCGGCCCCGCCGCCGCCTCGTGCGCGCCCGCGGGCGCCGCAGGGTGCTCGGCCGCCGCCCCGCCGTGGCCGCCGTCGCCGCCGCCGCCATCCTGCAGGGTCAGCGCCGCCGCTGCGCCGCGGAGCGCCGTGTCCGTCTCTCCGTCCGCCGCCGCTGCAACTGCCGCCGCGCCGTCGCCGGTGTGCCCGTTGCCGGCTGGCTCCGCTGCCGCTGCCGCCGCTGCTGCCTCTACATCCGCGCTTCCAGCCGCGGCTGTGAGATCTCCCGCCGCCCCTTCAGCTTCCCCCTTGGCTTCCAGCGGCGGATCTGGCGGCGGGGCCTCCTTAGACAGCCGTGCTATCAACGGCCCCACCTGCCTCGCCGCCTCATACCTGAGTGCAAGGCAGGAGCGATCGAAGAGACAGCAGTCAGGGGTGGTTAGTCAGGTATGGTCAGGGGGTGGAGGCAGGGGACAGAGTCGCCTGGTCAGCCCAGACAATTTGCTACATGAGGGGGCGGCGCCCAATCTCACCCTTTGGACACATGCACACGTACCGACACACACACGCCAGCATACAAGCACGCCTCACCAACCCCACCAACACACTCGCGCTCATGTGCATGCACATCATGCACGAGGCTCGCAGCACCGAACAACATGCAGACTCACGAACGCTGCCACAGCCGGGCGCGCGCCGCCCGCACCTGACCGCCGCCACGGGATCGTGCAGCAGCGTCACAACCACCGGCCACAGGCAGTGGGCGACCTGCTGCTGAGTCAGCGCCTCGGACAGCGCGGGCAGCTGCCGCACGACGCGCTGGCGGTGCCGCCAGTCGCCGGCGCGCTCAGGGTCTGCGGTACATAAGATGATACAAGGCGGGACAAAATTGAGGGGAGGGCAGGGGCGAGCGTGCAGCAGCCGCGGCGGGGGCAGGTGAGTTTACCATATTTGGAACCACCATCGCAGCCTTGGAGCAAGATATTGCTGCAGCTGCAAAGTTCAAAACATCATGGACGCAGGCAAAAAGTGCACGCCATTGCGTTGCCATCGCACTTGTGTGCGATGAAGAAAAATGGATGTGGCGAGCAGTCATGACTTGGCAGGGTCCCACAAGCAAAAAGAATCGTCAGGGTGCGGCCACGGCAACACCCGCGCCGTGCATGCCGTCAAACCAGCGCACCCGGCTGCAGCGCGAGGACTGGCAGGGCTGACAGCAGCTGCAGGCGGCCCTGCGGCGACAGCGCGCGCGCAACCTCGGACAGGTGCGTGCTGAGGGCCGGGGCGATGGTGTTCTGTTGATTGTCACAAGAACAGGGGTGGGTGGGTG